TAATACCGTCTAGGTGTACCTAGACATCTGTCGATTTCCCATTTCAGTCACCTGGACGCCGTCTGATATCTCGCTAGTCGCCGGGATCCGAAATGGTTTAGCGTATTCAATAACAAACAGGCCGATTTTTTTGGAAGTTGGGTGCAAAGATTCTTTACCTTTCCCCCATTAGCGATTTAAGGATTTTGTTGCGGCTCTGTACTTAGTCGTATGCGGAGTACAGGCTATCGACTATGACTCCGAACAACTTGAGGAATTTCCACACTCATTTCGAGCCGGTACTCTTTCGTCGTGAGGGTGGGAAAGGTCACAAACAAGATAGCAGTTTATTTTCGAATAAAGGGTATCAATATCGTGCAATCACTGAAAGATGGAATCCGAGAAATGAGTTTGGTGGGGGAAGGAGCTTCGAAATATAAAAATTAAATTATAACGTAGAGAGAACGAACATAAGACTGCGGACCTTCTAGCTTAATATTTTTGAGTTTTGATTTTTTAAACCTCGTAACTCCACCGATGACTGCAGTTGACCTTGTAAAAGATTTTTAATATATCCAGTTCTGATAGAACAGCTCGTGCGCTGTATCGATTTTAGTTAAGACCATGGATTAGCCGAGAGTTTATGTATTTAAGTACAGTTGTCAGCCTTGCCGTTGTGCTCAAGTGACTAGTAAAAGACAGGCCCAATTAAGGTATCAAGTGACTCCACTGTTGAGAAGAAAGATATCGACAGTTATGATTTTTCTTTATTGATGTTTTACACTGTTTCTATATGTTGGATTTTGTTAGAGTGATCAAAGACAGTTCAAGAACCTTGCTGAGGAATTCTACACCCGCTTTAACCAGAGGATTTATGCTTTTGCCTTCCCAAATACACACTTGTCACTTGTCACATGATTTTTTCAGCGGGCTAAAAAAGCTCACGCGTTTCTTCGGATCTCACGAGTGAAATTTTTACCCGATAATCACGTCACGTTGCTGAACGTTAAGTGCTCCTCCCAGTTGTTTCGCTGGAATCGGTTTCCCAAAATTGTACTCCTTGACTTTGACATCTTCGGAATCGACTTGGCGTACATAAACTAAATCTGCTGCATCAGTGGAATTTCCGGCGGATTTCCACAATTCGCTGTGATGAAGCAAGCGACAGCGTTTCATATTTGTTATTCATAAATTCATCTCAAAGCTATTTATTTTTCCTGCAGGGTATTTCGCTTCATTTGCACAAATGTTACTTTATATACATACATACATTCATACGAGTACATTCATATAGATCGGTTGTACATGTGCATTATCAATTTAACTAACTAGCTATATGCAAATTTTCGCCAAGTTTGTCACTTGGTTTAGTTGTAAATTCACCGGCAATTTTCTATTCATTCACTAATGATCATGCAATTGTTGGAAAATCACAATAAATAAATAATAATAACAATAGTTAATAAAACAATAGAATTAAAACAAATAGATAAATACGATGAGAATGACAATACATATGTACAGTGATGTACTAAAGTATTGGCACAGCAAGACAGTTCAACTTTAACAACTTCTCCGCTGCCGGTGTGGGCGAACTGCAATTCATTGACTTCATTTAGAACAAAAAATACCATATGGAAATTCTTAAGAGGAATGTCAAGAAAAAGTGACGAAAAACTTAAATTGATGGAGTCATAATTAATATAAATAATTATTTCGTTAATACTTTATTATAATTCTTTGGTGTTTCTTAATGAGGAGTGCCAATACTTTTGTTTGGTGAAAATCAACACTTTTTTCATTTATAATTAATATTAATTTAACATAAAAGATAATTAAATGAAAATAGTTGAAAATGTCTTTGTCTAGCATTTCTTTTCAGAATTAATTATATTTTCATAAGTGGCTAAAAAAAGGTGTTAAAGTTGAACTATCCTGCTGTGCCAATACTTTAGTTCATCACTGTATGTATCTATTGTTCTTACGAAATAGATTGGAGTACAACATTTGAGCCAATAAGACGACAAAATGAAAATTGTTTGAAAATCGGGTGGCACACAAATTACCACATCCTACCATAGTTCAATAATACTGCGTGAAAATTTTATATAACGGTATTTTAGAAAATTTTGTTACCTTTATAAAACAACCTTTTCTTCAAATTTTTGCACCGGTTACAAAGAAAGACCTCTTTATTTCTTAAAGGGTTACATAGGTCTTGAAGGCCAAAAAAAACTTATTTTCTGTGGTTTTTTTTTAAAGATACTAGAAAAAAGGATACAATTTATTTTGTTTACATGTAAAAGTACAATATGTGGACAACATTTGATGAAAATTTGAATAAAAAATAGTAAGAGATAAGGCGTTGTCGTAAAGTAGACCGTCCACAAGAAAGTGCTTTCGTGGCAGTCATGATAACTTTTTTCAATTTTTATCTGAAATCAAAAATTCAAATTTTTTCTTTAAATAGCTGAATTTTGCTTGTCCCTGAACGAAATAAAATTAAAAAAATATTAAAAATATAATATTTCAATTTTTTTTTTACAAAAAAGTCATTTTTTGCATAAAATTAGGCCACATATTGGCTTGTAAAATGAGTTGAAATCAAGGTTAAAGTAAATCCTTTGTTCAGGGATTACAAAAGCGTGCTTAAAAGATCGCTTCAATAGTCGTTAGGAAATTTCACTACCGCTTTCGATAAAGTAGTTTTAAGAAAAACGTATTTAAAGTTTTATCATCGGTTAAGCTATAAAAAAGACGGCGGGTTATAAAACTCTCTAATTTCTAGTTTTGTCTCGATCGACTTGAAATTTTGGGAAAACATTCCTGACACTTTGTACTTTTATACAAAAAATTATCAAAAAAACTATTTTTTTGAAGTTTCAAGACTTATGTAACCCCCTACCTTAAGGGATAAGGGATTTTCATTCAAACTGGCATTTTAATTAGCCCACTCGGACATCAGAAATTTTTCACAATTCGTTTCCATTGTGTTTTTTTTCTGAGATTTGCTTTAGATAAAATTTTAATAGATAATAATCTAATAATCTAGTGAAGAGGAAAGAGGCCCTTAATATGAAACAAGATCCAGTACGGAAAAATTATTAGTGAAAATGCGCGTTGCCTTAGAAGTTGGCGGGAAACAATTCAAAACGCTCTCAGATATTATCGTAAAAATAAACATTTTTAAATTAAAGAGATCAAGACTCAAAAGACCATACAAATAGAAGATTCCCTCATTGTTAGGCAGACGTTTAAAGTTCGTTTTGAATCTTCCTCACGACAGTACAATTTACTCTGCCACAAGTCGTGGTCTGAGTCCCTCCAAAACAAGGAAATTCCAATTCTTACACGGTCTGCTCAGAGATTCTATTTTTTTAAGTGATATAAGAATCATTGTGTTAGAGAATACAATTTTGAAGGCGGTTTGTTGGATAATATATATTGGTATATACATATTTATGTATATACTTACATACATACATATGTACAGAGTTAGAACAATCCAAATAAACTTAACAAAATCTGAAAGCTCCAAATAAATAATCATATAAAAAGCGTATAAAATAAAATCCAACAAAATTATTATTACAAAATATTTTTTTTATTATATTAATAAAGAAAAACTTTCACCTCTTTTGGGTGCATTAAATTTATGCACACAACTGTATTTTTTTTTCGCCTATATTGCTCTATACTGATGTTTGTATGGCACTTACTTGGCATAATTGTTGAAATTGTCGATTAGAAAGCACTTTCACACGGTTCAAGTGCAATTTGATGAAAAATTTTATATGCACCCATACGTGTATGTAATGTGTATATGTATGTATTTACATGTACATAAGGAATAATTAATTAATAAGAGCTTAATTGGAAAATTAGTACTGTGAATTTTAATGTGATTAAGTCTAGATTATAGCATTAAAGTATTTAATGCAGATAAATACCACATAGATAAGTATTTATACATATTACATATGTATGTATATACCTAAATTTGCGTATAGTGATCATTCAAATATTAAAAAAAAAAACAAGATTTTACGTTTTGCTATTTTTTTTTACCAGAATTTTTGGTAACCATTCAGAACAGCGGCTTCTGCTATTGTGGAACTGTCCAAAAATGATGGGGCTTTGGCTAAATAGGTGTATTTGATGATTATATTTTTATTAAAAGTGCTGAATATTGCAATAGTTTTATTATTATTAGCATTTAAAGTTGCCTTAAAATTTAATTAAGTTTAAAATGTATTAAAGCTCAGTAGTAAAAATTTCATATTATTTCCTAGTTTTTTTTTTAATTATTTATACGATTTGGCCTTTAAAATCCAGTGAATTTAGTATTCAATTTAATCAAAAATGCCTTTCTGCAGATGTTGTTAAAAAGAAATTTCATTAAAAAGAAAATAATAAAAAAAAACTCTAAAGCCAAAATCAAAGTAATACATTTTTAAAATCTATATTCAAAAATATATGTTAAAACTAATTTCTAGGCAAATTTTGCACTTTGCCTTTGCTGTCAAAATCGCTTTGTCACTATTTGTTGTTTTTCTTGTAACACTAGTCAAATTGGCTTGCCGACTTGTCGTGTGTTCCAATTCCATTTCGTTTGTTATTCTTTTTTTTTTACTATTTTGCCGCATAGCACCGCATGTCGATAAACCCAACAACAACCAACTATACCAAAGCAACACATAACTACCATGCAACGAATAAGGAAGCAACTACAAAGTATACATGCCGGCATTTTGCTTTATTGACTATCCAAGGTTTTAAAGGGCGCAGCAGAAGGTAAAAGGAAGAATGGAAATGACAAGAAGGAAAAAGGAAAAGCCGAAACTTCCGGAAGTAGAAGGCCTAAATTTATATACTTTGATTTCGCATACATCGTATTTGCACACTTTTTTAATTCTACCTTATTATATACATACTATGTGCCTATATATAGATATATATATGCATCTTTCTTCACAAAAAATTTAAACATAAATATAATATATAAAGTATAAAATACCAACCTGTTTCACTCTGCTTATAAGTATATCCAATAATATCTGCCAGCAGCAACAAGAGAATACGTTAACAAAAACAATAAAATTTGCAGTGCTCGCCAAAATCGATTGAAATCTAATTAGAACGCTGCAGCTGTTCTGAAGAGGAATCTCAGGTTAATTGGAAATTGATTTTCCGTCTTTAGCTACTCTTCAATATACGAGATTGGTTATAAAAGTAGGCAATGCATTTACACAGCTGATACACTTTTATATTTATTTGGGTATATGTGTTTTTCCCTCACAAAATTTATATTGTGCAAAAAGTTCTTGTTTTATTTTCTTATTTGAAGTTTATTATGCCGGAAAGCAACGAGTTCGGCGTTCACAAAACTAGCAGAAAATTATATATGCACACACGTATATAAATGAATGTAGACAAAACACACTTATAAAGCGTAGATGAATAGCTGAGAATGATTCGCGTCTTTCGTGGTCGTGACCTGGCTTTTTTTCACAATTGGTAAATTTGTTCTTCACCCTTTTCGTTCTCGTTCACACACAGAGTTTTTTGCTTCCGTTTTAATTCAATCAATTTTTATATAAAATAACTTCTTTGCAATGCGCAATCCTCAATGGCCAGTTGTATATTAATATATTTCTGTATTAATTTCGCCGAATTTCGCACGTAAAAAACTATTTCAAAAACTGATGAATAAACACACAGCAAACATCTGAACGAATCACTTTTTATGGTTGTTTCCAGTTTTCACTATGTTTTATTGCTTTCTATCGTTTCGCTGCCGTTTGTTTCAATTGTCAATGTTGAGTGTTGCCACGCTGGTAATAGGTTTGGAAAATAAATCTATAAGTGTTGACCGTTTCAACAACACTGGTGTGTGTAAGCTCCGTAGGTGAAATGAATATATGAGCAAATCAGAAAAATTCGTATTCCTTTTCATCAAAACAATGAATAAATTATAAAATTAGAGTAAGCTATTGCAAAAATTTGATTTCTGAAATTAAGAGTCCATGAAATTTCATTATATTTACTATATTTTCAGTAAAAATTCTTTTCTTCCTGGATGTGGGTTTTTTGATAAAGTTGACGTTTTCAGAACATTTTTTAAGCACTAGCGGGTCTGGTGAAACTCGTATCATCCGAATTTTCGCTACTTAGACTAACTCCAGAGTTATAATACCACATAAATAGTTCCAATTAGAATGTGATTTATTTAAATGGAAACAAAAACAATGAACGTTATAGAGAGCGTAATGATAAACCGTGTTTTTTGTTTAATTTTTCGGAGCAAAAATATTAGCTGTAGTAAAAGAAATTCATTATTTTTGCTTGAAATTGAATGGTTTAATTTTTTCTTTTCGTTCCAATCGGTTTTTTGGTGTAATCTTTAGCTCTTGGGCAATCTGACTAGACAATGTCCATGGTTTGATCAACATTTTCGAGAATTGACCTCCACTTCATAAAGCATTTTTTACATCAAAATTACCAGAATGTAACCAAAATTTTGCAATATTGACTGAAAAAGAATCAGGACCATAAAATCTAGCCACATTTTCAGACGCCTGGTTTCCGTTTTTGATGAATCAATCAATCAAAAAGCTTTCAGACAAGCTTTTTAGTACTAAATACGACGCGAGATACAGAAAATAACGCCATCAATTGGAAAAATAATGAATTCCTTTGTTTGTTATTGCGAAAACAGTTAAACACGAGCCTTAACGTTTATTCAAGGAAATCTAGACTGATCGATGGTCCATTTACGGGAAAGAGAATTACTTTTTGTATTTGCTCCTCTAGACAAAAGTGTAGTACAATCGAAACATAAATATAATTTTTAAAGTCCAGCTATCTCAGTGACAATTTACAATGTTCACTTCCTTGAAAAAAGTTAAATTTTCTATCGTTAAATCCTTCTCATTGTAGAAGCAAAAAAAAATAAGCCAAGCTAATCCAGATGTTGATGAAATGTAAATTAAATTTTCTATAACTTTTATGATCGTAGATATATGGATTTTTAGTGATTCCCTTGAATTTTAGTGATTTTGTTTTTTCTTTTTTTGTAGTTCATAGCTAGAGTTCTAAATTGACATGTTAAAATAAAAGGAAAGGGACAAAGTGTTTTGTACATATTAATCTAAGCAAAGAGATATCATCAAAACATCAAGACGCAAAACCACAAATTGGAGGAGGAGCTCGGTCGAAAATCGTTTCAACGGTTCCAAATCGCCAATTATAGTAATAACTTGAAAAGAAATAAATAAATAATAACAATAGACTAAAGAAAATACACGAAAAACTCCGTGAACTTATGTAAAACTGATTTATTTTACTTTTATGTAACGAAACCTTATTTGATATTGAATTTCTGACTAAATCGCATTTTCCGCAAAAAAAAAATTGTTAAATTTGTACTGTAGTTACTTTACCTTTAAAGATACCTTCAGAGGTAGCAATTAATTTATTTCAAATCGCTTTTCATTTATACATTTTTGAAATTAACTTCCAAGAGCAGAGACACGTAGCGTGAAAACTTTCATCAAAAATCTTCTTTGAGAAATCAAATTGCAGAAACTAGTTTCAATGTAGTCACACATCGAAAGTGAAAATTTTTGATAGCAAAATGCCACAAATTGCCATGTCTGACAGCACCCTAACGTTTCACAAACAGCTGAATTTACACATTCTTCCCATTACCATTTTTGTTCCGCTTGGATCTTTTTGTTCCATTTTGCACCATTCCTATGGGCATTTACTCCATTCGGTGTGGATTGGTTGGAAATTCAAAAATAGTCGTTGAAATACAGTTGGGCATATTTGCAATACAAGGAAATTAATTTGAAATTCCCAAAACAAAGTGTTTTTATCAACAAGTTGAAATTTGAAGTGTTTTCAATTTGATTTTAATTGTTTTGTAAGAATATTGAAAGTAGGATGTGTTAATAATTCTACATACATATAAAGAAGAGAACAAGTTAGGTGCGTTAATCTGTTTTGACAGAAGTGGAAATTAGCGGAATGCCTGATCGAACTGAGTTACTATCATTATTGTTACGAAAAATTTAGAATTTGCATGACCTACAGCCTGGCTGAGCGGCCTGATGTCTGCTTTTGGACGTTAAGCGGCTGTGACAGCCTCTCGTTAAGAGTTTATTCTTTTATTTTAGGAAACAAGTTGCATTTCATGTTGGTGTTGGCATGCTTTTGCGTTGTAAAACGTGAGCTTTTAGAGAAAATTTTACTGATTTAGGGAATTTGAAAATTTATTGATATTCGACAGATGCAAAAATTATCGAAATTGGGTACTAAACTTTACACAGTATTTCTTATTGTCACAAAATGAATGGAAGCATTTTTGATAAAATAAATTTAAAAAATAATTATTAGATTCAAATTTTAAAAACTTTTTCATTTAAAAAAATTAAAAATTTTCTTTGAACTTTAAAAAATATGTTTAATCTATTTTTTAAGCATATTGTTAATAGTGTAATAATGTAATGAGAAATGAAGTATGCTGTAAATAGTAGATTGGGGTCACACAATATTTTAAGATAAAAAATAATGGATGATAAAAAAACTGAGCCGCCTTAATAAGTAAATTCTTTAACTAATCTTAGTAAATCTTAATAATGAATGACTAAAATATCTAAAATGTAAAGAAATAACCGCCTCGATTGGTCGAGTGGTTAGCATTGCCTACTAACATTCGCGGTTTGAATCCTGGTTCGACCAACATATAAATAAATTACCATCGCCCTACGGCAAGGTATGTCAAGTTTTTCGTGTATAGAATGGACATGACGTTAAAAGCTCCTCATAAAAAATTATCGACCTATCGGAGGCAGCTTAGAATGAACTTTTATATCCCTCGATCTTTTGGTAGAGCTTCTAGATGTAGATAACCAAATTGAGGAGAAGCTCGGCAGAAAATCAATATAAAGAGGGAGATATATCATTAATAATAGAATCGACGTTGCCTTATTGGAATAAACCTTATCTTTTGCTCCAAAAGAAGAAGTCGCAAAGTGTCAAATTACGGTAGCCAAGTGGCAGCGATGACCACTTCGAGGGATAAAAGGGCCCAGTAACATTTCCCTGAAAAGCTCGATGGTTTCGTTGCTTGTGTGGAATTTAATGTCGTCTTATCAAAAGTAAACGTTATCCAGTTATGTTGCTCCTGTCTCATTTTTGAAAAAGTAAGGTCCAATGACCCGGCCGGACCACAAACCGAACCAAACTGTTACATGTTGACATTGGATAGACTTTCGAATAATAAGTCTTGGGTTTTCTGAGACCCAGATACGACAGTTTTGCTTATTGTCATCGAGGTGGAAATTGGCCTCATAAGCCAATATGATTTTTCGATGAAATTCCGTATCATTTTCATGCATTTCAAGAACCCAATCAGCAAAGACACGACGTTGTTGATTATTCGCCAGCTTAAATTCTTGTATTAACTGGACTTTATCAGCCTTAAGATCCAAGTTTTTATGCAAAACACGATGTAATGAAGTTTGTGGAATGACAAATTTCAATCAAAGGCGAGGAACGGTGAAACCTGAGTTTTCTTCAACACTTTGGGCTACAGCACCAATATTCTCAGTTCTTCTTGAGCGTTGTTCTTAACTAATTTGTCCCAACAGCCTGCTTTTTTCCACCAATTTCTGTATATATAATTGGCGCTTTGTAACCACCGAAGCGATTTTCGGTCAATGCTTTGGAAAAATATCAACATGCAAAACCCATCCTCCACAAATTGGAGGAGGAGCTCGGCTAGCCCGCCAATTCCTGCATGGCGGACCGTCAAAGTGCTTGATGACGACCGAAAAATGTTTTAGTTTTACGAATCGTTTCTTACTTAGAGCTCTCGCCCAAAATATACCCGACCTAGATCCGCCCTACCACACGTGTGCTCCATCGAGTTGCTGTCTCGCTTAATATTTTCAGGCAAAGTGTCGTGTACTTAATTACTACATTACATACATACATATATGAATATAAAAAATGTACTATTTTTTGCTCTTTAGTTTTACCGCGGCTTCATATAAAAAAAAAAAAGATTTTATTTTATAATAAAATTTTTTTAATAAATAAATATGTATTTATTTTGGTTAAACAAAATTTTAAAAGTTAGGGAGATTACATTTTCAAAACCAAATCCCGTGCTTCCAAAAAACTACTTTGCAAAACACATATGTATGTATATGTAACTCCAATTTCAACATTGGCTTCGGAGTTTCGAAAGAAAATAACAACGAAATTTTTTCTTTACGCTCAGTTGGCCATGAATTTCACACACAAGACACACAAGGTAAATATTTCACAAGTAGCTAGCAAAAAAAAAGAAAAAAAAATGTTTTCGAGAAAATTTCAAATTCATTTCCATTCTCGGCGGTGCGTGACGCAGGAGCAAAAGTTCATAAAAAAGCAAAAGTGAGAAATTTTTCAAAATCACACACGATGGTGCGCAGCATTTTTTCACAACGTTACAATTATGCAAAAATACGTGTCAACGAGGCGCTGGATGGTAAGTAAGAGTGTGTAGTCAGTTAAAAGCAGTGACACCTTCATCGCTTCCATGCCAATTTCACGCAGATGTCTTTCGGCGCATACCGATTTTTCCGAAAATCGCAAAGCTGCCCAAGTTGAAACGCACCTACTACATTGCGACGCCCAAACCGATGGTTGAGAAGAAGAACAAGATGAAGCTGAAGCACAAGAAATTGCTGCCCTCCGCCGATTGGTAAGTTTCGCGGCACACATTCCTCTCTTCTCGCCAACCCCTTTTGCTGTAAAAAGAAATTCATACATACATAAAAATTTATTAAAAAAAATTGAAAAATTAATTTTGTACTTCATCAAAAAACACTTCAAAGGTATGACAGTGATTTCATACCGATGACAACGCGCTATGAACTGGAAATGATTTTAGATACGACGCTTATGGAGCGTCATTCGGGTCATAACTCGAAGGGTACATTCAGTCATGTCTATTGGAAGGCCGCCGAAGCGGATGAGATGCCAGCAAGCATCACAGCGGACTCAACGCTCGTGAATGCCGACGCTAGCACCAGCAACAACGACAAGGAAGCGATGATTAAACGTCAATTACTCAATAGCAAATCGCCTTCGATAGCGCCGCAACCACTCGCTGCGGCAGTCCCAAACGCAACCGATTCCCCAACAAAGCCGACAACAACTCTAATGTCCCACAATTACAACACCACCAAAAAGGAGCAAGCTGAATCGCCAACCAAAAAGTATGCTTATGAAGCACCGAGAAGTCTTGCAGCCACCAGAGAATCGCATGATTTTGAATTTGCCGTGCCCGAGTTGAATAAGCGTCGACGCAATAAGCATCTAGAGAAGAGCTACGAATGCGAACAGTGTCACAAGAAGTTCGATCGTCCTTGGGTGTTGCACGGTCACATGCGTTTACATACCGGTGAGAAGCCGTTCGTGTGTCCGGTGGAGTCGTGCCAAAAGCGCTTCGCTGATCGGTAAGTAAACACGGAGTTCCAAGGGAAACTGTAGTCATTCTTATTTCTTCGATTGCAGCTCAAATCTGCGCGCTCATCAACGCACCAAAGGTCATCACAATTGGAGTTATCAGTGTCCACAATGCACCAAGGCTTTTAGTCAGGAGAACTATCTGAGTCGCCATAGCCTAGAGGCTTGTCGTAAATTCTTAGCCTCGCATCGGAATGGTTGAGTCGTGCGTAATTCGAATTCTTCTCAATATATTAGTTATATGATTTGTCTCTTATTGCAATATTTTAACTGAGCATTTAGAGTATATACATATATATATGTATACTCGTCTATATATGGATAAAAACAGGTTTCCTGTGAAAGACACTAACGGTTTAGATTTGAGGTAGTTTTTAGTGATTTATCTTTTTAGTAATTGTATTCATCTTTATATGTATGCATGTGTGTGCATGAAAATTTTTCTGAATTTCCAACTATTTGAAATTATTTAAAAGCCAAATAAAACATGACGTTCAAATGAAGTCGACTAATTTTCCTCATTTCAGACCTAACTTTAAGTAGGATCCCCTCTTATCCAACCCCAATTTCAGTTCCAATTTATTAGCAACCGGCATACTAGCTTGCCGCAGTAGCCGAGTGGATAGCATTGCGTCCTGCAATTCGGTTCCGTCAACATCCAAAAGTTATGGAAAATTAATTTAAATAAAAAATTAAGTTAAATTATCTTTTTGCAGTCGACCCTCGGCAGAGAATGTCAACCCCTCCGAGGGTATTACTGCCATGAAAATCAAAATCTCATAAAAAAACCATGAGCTGTTCGTAGTCGGCTTAGTATGAAGTATGAGGGACCTATAGCCTCCATTTGTTGGAAAAACATCAAGACGCAAAACCACAAAATGGAGGAGGAGCTCAGCCGAAAATCGCTTGGGCTCGACGTCGGAAACCTGCAATCACAACATACAGTCGAATGGTTTTCTACTCAACGTGCACTCCTGAACTCTAAGAGCATTTATCAGCTACTCGGTACGAGGGACAGTATTTCAAGCTCTCTACGTACAGCTGCAAACAAACTATTTTTTTCGGAAAGGTCAGAGAAAACGCTGGTACGATGGAGATTGCCGTGCCGCAGTGAAGCGAAAACAGACCACTGCACGTGCGGGGTATATTCAATTGGCGCTCTGTAACTGCTGAAGCGATGCCGAGAGCCTCCTCAAATTTATGGTTTTACATCTTGATGTGGTGTGGGATAGATACCAAAAATGTAAAATTGTGCAGACTGTAATAGAAAGAGGCCGAGAAGCTTGAGTATGAAGAGTTTTAGAAGCTGACCGATAGGGTTCTGTAATTTGCTTCCCCAATCCATAGAGAAGGTTAACCCCACAGTCTGTGACAGTTTCCCTATATGGCATATAAGGTCCTATTGAGTGTGCTATATGAAAGATTAAAGGTCATCGTCAACAAACTGATTAGATCTTATCAGTGTGTCTTTAGATCTGGTAAATCAACCATTGACCCGATATTCAACCTGTGTTAAACCTGAAACCCGTGAAGAGAGGATCGCCACACCCCACCTCTTCGTCGATTTTTTTAGCACGAAATACTCTATAATACGCACATCATTCCTCTCGTGCCATATGGTGCGAAAGCTTGTACATGTACAACATCTGATGAGTCGGCGTTAGGAGTTTTCGAGAGAAAGGTTTTGCGTAAGATTTATGGTCCTTTGGCGAATAATTCAGCCGATGGAGCGCTGAGCTGTACGAGTTATACGGCGGCTTTGGCATAGTTCAGCCAATGAAGCTGCAGCGGCTACGCTGGCTAGGCTATGTGGTCCGGATAAGAGTACACCAGTTGCAGTACGGATCGGTGGAAATAAAGGAAGAGATAAATCTCCACTCCGTAGGAAAGACCAGGTGGAGAATGACTTGACTGTAGTTTGTACTTCAAATTGACGCCAAAGAGCGAAAAGAAGGAATAAATAAGTGCTCTGTGGTTAATTCGGCTTGAGCATCAATATCTCATACAGCACGTAGGATCAGACCGCAGTAGCTAGTGGTTAGCAGTGCGTATTACCATCGGGTTAGGGCTCTAGAATTTACTTGTGGTAAGGCATGTCTGTCGTAAGAGGCGACTAAAATCCAATAGTTCCTACGACAGTCGGGTCTTTATACCTGAACGACACGGATTTTTATCCGGCCAAGCACTGACACTCCCGTAATATTCCTAGAAAATTAAATCGGCAAATATTTTGGGATTACAAAAACAACAAGAGCAACACCATCGGTTGAAATAAAAATTTATTTACAGGGCGGTAGTTCCCCCTTTTTTTTTGAAGATCGTCAAGACGCAAAACCACAAATTTAAGAAGGAGCTCGGACAAAAATCGTTTATGCAGCTATACTTGTATATCACGCTGTGCTTGTGGACCACGATATATGACATAAGTCTGGAATGTCCGGTTCCTTAATTGCGAAGGAGCCACAACCTAGCGTTGAACTGGACAAGGACGGAAGAACGTGGGTTGTTGGGAAATCTTCTACGGCGGCGATAATAAAGAAGGGTAAATTTGGTGTTGGATTTGTGGTGGTAGATAGTCTGCAGCGCGGAAGTTTTGGAATTCATTTCAGTGGAAAAACATCTCGTCGCTAACCACATCAAAGCGAGTTGCGCCCACATCCCGATGGAAAAGAAGAACGTTGTCAAAATGGTGCATGGTGATATTAACGCCAGGGAAAGCATGAAAGATATCTTTCTCACTACAGTAGGAAATCTCAGGCTAAATAAATAAATTAGAAGTTGATCCACTTCGCCGAAGTCCGAAATATGGTTGTCTGTAACACTAGAGTTCGGCACTGCAAACGACGGAACGATTAACTGCACGAGCTATATGCAAAGGATCATAAATCTATCGAGATCTGGGATGTTGTCCTACTAAAGCTAACAATTTTAAGCCAAAAGGTGTTCGTGACTTTTTATCTCCAAAGTGTGGTCGCTTTTGGAATTGATTTGAGACTAAGAAAATTCACGTAATAAAGGCTCTTCGTGTCATTAGATTTTCTACCAACAAAAGTTTTTATATGTCTATATGTATATATTCGAAAAAACTAACATTACACCTTCACGCCAAATCTAGATTTGCAACAATGTTAACGGTACTGTAATGTTACAATTATTTACAGCCTTTACTCGGCTCTCTCCCTCTCTCTCTCTCTCTCTCTCTCTCGAAAGCTGTGCCATTGCAAGAGAACTAAAATAAATTTCTGCTCTTACAAATTTATATAGAAATTATTGTTATTGCATTTGCCACCAATTTTTTACATTACATAGTCTATGGGTGGTGCATTTGTTGTAGTTGGGATGGCTTAAAGGGGCAGAGGTAGTCCGTGAACTTTATAGTCTTGCACTCCTGTTGAAAATGGGACAAGTTCAGGGCTGTTCACTGACTGTCTTTGGAAATCAGTGCATACATGCACATACATATATGTATGTTATTATGTAACTTTGGATATCACTATTTATGACCGTGATTTTAACATTTTTTTACATACATATACTTGTATGTATGCAAACGCTATACGTATGGTTGGTCGGATTTTTGTGATTGTGATTGTGATAAGATCTGCTACTGTCCTTACTAAAGAACTTTTGTTATATGTCTGAGGTGGAATTTCAAAATTTTCGAAATATCTAAGAATAGTTGTGTCGGTACTCCGAACTTTAGCAATCTGTAATAAGCTTTAATTTCAAAAAAAAAAAAAAAAAATTTGAATCATCTGTGGGCAAAAAGTAAGGCGAAATTTTAATTTGAGCTTCGCGTGTTTAATATTTCCGGTTTATTATTATTTTTTTAATGTTGGCAGCACTGTTATTGACACCTACGCCAAATTTCATGTCATCATTGGAATTTTAGTAACGGTTGTGCTTACTAAACGGCTAAAAGTGCCTTCGGCGATTTTTATAATGTCCGACTTGATTGAGCAAGGAAGTGCGATCAAATTTTGTTTGGGGAACGAGTTTTCGGCTGCTGAAACGTTGAGGATGCTACTGAAAGTCTATGGAGACTCAACTATGTCCCAGAAGAACGTATTGTTGACTTGAAGCGCACGGAACGAAAATCAACGTCAACTGATGTGCAACACGTCCATGAAGTTAAGGAATTATTGCTCAAAAATCGTCGATTGAGTGTTAGAGACTTTACCGATATGGTTGGAATATCAGAAGGATCTGTAAAGACGAGTTTGCGTGAAGCAATTCACAAAAAAAGACCGAATTATGGGCAAAAAATTCTTGGTTTTTGCATTACTATAAAGCACCGTCGCACATAGAACTCATTCATCGTGACCATTTCTATAAAAATTCTACGAACATCGTTCCCCAACCACTGTATTTGACGGACGTAGCACTCCGTGACTTCTGGCTCTTCCAAGCACCCAAGAGACTACTTCGAGGACACCATTTTGAGTCGATTGAGGAGATTAAACGTGAATCGGCGCGCTCTCTGAAGGCCATACCAGCCCGTGACTATTTGACATGCTTTGAGCGCATTGTAATCTCATGGGGCTATTTTGAAGGCGACGAAATCGATGTCGAAGAATAAATAAATATTTTTAATTTTACAAATAAATTCACCTTACCTTTTGCCCACAGTAGTATCTATATACGGTCGGATGTCTGGGTTTTCCGGTGCCAAAATTTTCAAAATCATAGCAATACAAGATTTTTATTATTTGCAATTTTCCAAAGTTCACTGTGGAGTATTCCAGCCTCAGCCGTAGGATGTGCCATTCATATGAATACCAACATTTTTCATTTACGTTGGGGGTCAATAGGCTGAATGTCTGTAAGTCTTTTTATACACTGTAAACTTTACAGCAAAAGAACACGGTAGCAGAATTCAAACAGTCTTGCAATTTTTGCTGAGCTTTTTTGCCGCCTCCCTTACAACACGTGTGCATTATTGTCGAAGCAGTACATAATATAGCTCTTTCGTGTACATATATACATATATACTCACTAACACATATATATATAATATGTACATATGTACTTCTGAAAACAAGTAAATAAATTTGATTTTATACAAATATACATATGAGCAATGTAAAATAGCCGCAATAGCTGAGTGGTTAGCATTCCCTACCGTCATTTTGAAGACCAAGGTTCAAGTCCTGGTTCAACCAAAATTATAAATTTTTTTTTTTTTTAATATCGTTCGTCCATCGGGAGGGAATGCCCGTCCGAGTATATTTCTGACATAAAAAAATGCTCATCATAAAAATCCGTCAACCGTTTGGAGGCGGCTTAGCATAAACTGTAGGTCGCTCTAAGTCGCGTTGGAAAAACATCATGACGCAAAATCACAAGTTGGAGGACGGGCTCGGCCGAAAATCGCTTAGCGGTATATACGTATGAACATTGTAAGTGCATAGGTAGTGACAAGTGGAAGCTCTCGGGGGATGTTAGCTAGATTGTCACTTACAGTGAAGTACATAACAATAT